CCTGGTTAGTACTGGCTACTAGTTGCCAAGTTGGAATCTAGGTCAATGCCAAGTGTCAAGTGTCAAGGTCTTGGACACATGCGGCCGCAAGTTTCAAGGCACTAGGCCCTATTTCCTTTTTTTTTTAAACTTTGCCTAGACTAGAAGTTCTACTCTCCTCTTTCAACTTAAAATTGACCGCAGCTAGATCTAGTAGATCTTTACTAGATTTAGATCTATCTAGATCTAGATTCTAGATCTACTTGAATGGAAAGTAAACAAAAGTTCCCATAGGTAAGTAAGCCAAGTATAGTAAACAAGACGTCAAGAGGTGACTCGATTGTTGTTAGCCTACCCCCCCTCCTCGTCTGTGGCTGTATAATAGCCTGGACATCTATAGCCTAGTTTTGTTTACTTTTCTCGCTCGGGCGCACGAGCACACCGCATTTTACGCTTTACACATAGATCTAGATCTCTGCACTAGATCTAGATTTATATCTACTCTTACTCAGTGTCATTCTGATTCTTTGTGCCGGCGGTCTGTCGTCAGTCAGTCACAATCGAGGATGCCAGTAACAGTTCCCACAACAAATAATACTAATACTTTGTAACGCGTGGCCCATGTCATGCCCATGCCATGGATCCTGTCGAAGAAGTCCTGCTACGTAAGTTTATTATATCTCTAGCCTAGTCTAGAGTGGTTGGACCCCATACGAACCATTACCCAATATGAACCACCCGTCGCTTGTTTCGTTATGTAATGTGGTGAAATAGAAGACCAATTTCGTGAACCTATTCGCGAAGGCGTGGCTTTCATCCTTCAATTTTATGTCTATAGTCTAGATCTAAATCTAGATCTAAACCTAGAATCTAGAGTCTAGATATTTAGGGGCTAATTTGTTGTTTTCCCAAAACATCGTTGCGGGCGCTCCGAGTCTGAGGCATTTTGAGCTCTCTGGACACCTGAACTTGCATGATCACATCTCACGCTGGGTGTGTAGATGATCGGCCTTCAACTGTGATGGGAAGTCCTCTCCTTTCCTGACCGCTGCAACAGTTCTTGGGAGGACTTCCGTAACGAGCGACCACTATGAGACAGCAGAATTGAGGGCTTGGGGTAGGGGTAGGGGTCTAGGCCTCTTTATTGTGTTTGATGGGAAGTCCTTCCCAGTTCTTGTTGTCTTTACTCCTGAATTTGTAAGATACTCTGTGTAAGACGGCCACCCATTGTCAAGGAGAAAAGTGGCCGTATAAGACAGGTGGCTGTCTTAGGCAGGACTGATCAAGATGAAGAAAACAAATAATTCCTATCAGGGGTCCCAATCGAAAGTAGCCGCATTGTTGTTGTTTTTGTTGGTGGTGGTTTGTATTTTGTTGCTGATTTTGCACAAGGGTGACAATAAAACGAAATGTATCAGACAAGGAAGACTGAGTGCCATACATGTAAAAACAAACTCATGGGTCGCTACCACTCGGAGAACGAACGACGTTTGTCACAAGTTCATGTTGACGTCCTTTGTTACTTTGTTACAGACTGGGTTAACAGTGACCACTCATCTCACTTACGATTTTGGGGGGCTCTCGTGGCCTAGAGTCTAGAGGTTTAGGTGTTGGCCTCTCATTCAAAGGTCCCGGGTTCGAATCCGGGTAGCGACCGAAAAATTTTCTTCTCTAAAATTGTCTCCTTTCACCTCCTTTCCTGCTCTCTAGCAATGTTCTGTTGTCTGCTTTCAATTCCACTTTCTGCCCCCACCCCCTCACCTCCTTTGCCCCCTCCTCTGGGCTCCTGACTCTTTCTGCAGCCTTTCTACTGCTACTCCTTGGCTCCTCCTTACTGCTGTCTTTCTGCCACACCCCTGATCTTCTGGTAGGAAAGATCATCTACACCTAGTCTTCTCGGACAAGGGCGAAAAATCTCGGAGGGCCCGTGTGCAAGTTGCGCACGTTAAAGATCCCTTGGTGATATAAAATCGATAAGAGTAGGCTTCGGCCGCCACTCGGGCAAAATTCAAAATTTCCTACTAACTGAAAATATTAGGTGTGTCCCGCGCGCTCATATGACCTATGCAGTTGCGAGCGCCGTAAAACACTTTACAAAACAAACAAACTTACGATTTGTGTTTAAGTTTTGGGCGGGGTTTATGGGTTATGAGGGATCACACGCTTTCCTCACCAGCAGCTGAAGATTGGTAGCTATTGGTCAACAAACAGTGGGAAGGGCCTACGCAACATGATCTGTTGGAGGGACTACCTAACAACAACGACAGGGGATTGAATTATGACGGCTCGCCCTCAACGCAGGGGGGCAATGCACAATTTATTACTAAACGAAATGGAGTCACTAAGGTGGCCGTCTAAGACAGGTTTTATTGCTCAGTGTGATAGGGGTTGTGTGTTAAAATAAGGTGTCCGCGGCTGCGTTGGACAGGTGCCCGTTGTACACAGTTAAATTATATAGAAAAACCGCAAGGGGGGAAATGGAAAGTGGCCGTTTGTACAGGTGGCTGTCTTATAGAGGTGGCCGTCAGGGCAGGTTCGACTGTATGTAGATAGACTGAATTTTAATTGGTGTGGGCAAAACTCGATGGTGCGTGGTGATGACAAAGGCAGGAGAACTCTGTCAGAGATGGAAATATGAATTTTGGAGGTAAAGGGGAGAGGAGCAAAACATATAGACAGAGACTGGCGCTTAAATCATGACCAAAATTGTGTCAATAGTGCTGTAAAACGTCTACTCAATCAGAGCTGTTAAAGTATTTTTTAAAAGGTACTTTTTAAGTACAAATTTAAGTACAATCTAAAATATGAACAGTAAAAGTACTTAAATCCTGTAAAATGTACTTGAGTACAAGTTTTTAAAAAGTACATGAGTACATTTTGAGCACTTTCTGCTAATATGATAAAACACTTCAGTGCTAATGCAAAACATCATATTGAATAACATATATCTAGTATTTGACAAATTAGGCCATTTATTACTAATAACGTAATACAAAGCATTTGAATATATATACTTACTGAAAGTAGGTGGAAATGGTCAGTGAAATTGAAAAAAAAACCCAGCAAACAAACAGACGCAACTAGTGACTAAGTGATGTTATAAATAGAACTTGTTTGAGCAAGACAATATGATCAAATGTAAGTCAGTCCTAGAGGTTGGAAAGTAGGAAATTATTATTCAATTGGACCGCACGAATATTCAAATTCAGTCTGTCTAGCAAATTGTGGTGCAGAGTCAACTGCTGCAGTGGTCAGGGAAATAAAAGCGCAGTAGTTCACAGTTCGATGTGATCCCGTCTGACGTGGACGTGTAGACCCTACCCATTCAGTTTGAGTTTGTGATGAAAGTTCACATGGAGTGCTCGGGTGCAAGTGTGATGTTGGGAGAAAACAAATGAACATGTTCATACGTCGGTATGATCCCGAATGGGGCCAACATTGTGTACCGTTTCATTGAGATGAACAACGGAGATGTGGTCACTTTCATGAGGGTGGATGATCTGTGTAACACAATGGGAAGTACAATGATCGCTTATTTTTACTGCTGCTTGTCTGATCGGCTGCACCAACCCAGATTTTTGTTCCTTGAATTATGATCTGAAATATGGGATCTTAGCTTCGGAGCGAGATCTTCGGGGTGACTAATGTGTTGCAAAAGTTCTGTTTTCTTGAACAGCGGGACCTTCAGCGAACCGGTATTGTAGGCTGTGGGACCTTGTGGCAGAGACTAATGTATTATAGGCCTATCTCATAAACTAATAATTTGCTGTGGGTGTGGTAAAAATTCATGTTAAAAAGCAGATAAGAATGAAAAAGAAAAGTGCTTTAATAGAATTTTGTACACATACGTGAGAGTATTGAGACTGGACTGTAAGTAAAATAGTATGGTTAACTTAAATACTTTCCCTCCCACAGGCAGATATGCACTACTTTTAACACTGCCATCATATTTTAGGGAAAATCCAAAGAAATCATCAATCGGCGAGATGAGGTGGCAAAGTGTTAAGGGTTAAACCAATGTATTTTTAACTGCTGAAACACTCAATTCATTTTTATGGCCACGAAAACTTAATTTTGGTTGAATCGAAATGGAAATACATGATTTCAGATTCAGATTTTTATCCGTCTTTGACTTTGACAACACTGAATCAATGATACTGTAACATACAATCTATAAACAACAAACAGTAAAAGCATGAACAAAACACATTTTGGTGCAGCTGCAGACTCAAATATAATTTGAAACTCACAACTTTGACTTTGGTATTATTTTACTTTCCATCGAAATTGTCACCATCGTCTTCATTCACCTCTTTCTCTCTGGTATTGCGTATAGTGCACCAAATACTGTTAAGGACTCTTCACCTGCCTCTGTTCTGGTCAATCTTCTCCAAATCCAGCCGTGTCCCATGCCTGCATTCTGCCTCTAAATCTTGCTCCTTGCTGGATCTCGGCCTCCCTTTCTTTCTCTTTTCTTGGGGGCTGCGTCTTAGGCCTTGTCTTTGTAAGTTGTTACTCAGTCCATTGCCATCTTCTCATCTCTTGATCTCATTGCCAACTGGCTGTTGTTTGGTTCGTCACCTATCCTGAGAGCTTTTTATAAAACGAATGCTGCCAAGACTCAAACACCCCCTGCATCATTGTTATTCACAAACAAAACAACACAAGAGAAAACAATTCAAACATTTAAAACCACTGGCTGAGGTGTCTTTAGGCCTTTCCCATAGGGGAACGTGTTTTTTCTTTTCTCATCCTTACTGTCGTCATTTGTCCTCTACTTCTTAAATTTTGTATGTTTGTTACACTCTTGTGACCTGCTCTTTCAGGGGTTCCTTGATAACTGCACTGTTATGAGCTTGACATTGATAAATCAGCCCATTTAGTTTTACTATTCTACTGTGCATAAGAACATGTTAATGTCCCCCCTTTGGGAATGGCCTAAAGACACTTCACTGCCCCGGGGGTAGCTAGGCTTTACACAGCCACACAACTTTTTGGCAAACAATCAAGATGACACAGGTGTGCATTTAAACGAATCGGTCTTCTTTTGCACAGCTTATACTATGCTGGCATTTCAGGCACCACTTTTTACTTTTCTTTATACATTACTTGCTCAGTGCCTGTAATCATCTACACAAAAACCTTATGTTTGCTATAACGAACACTCGGATTCAACGAGATTTTAGGTCAGGCCCGGCGACCTGGTTGAGTCCGAGTTTCACTGTATTCCTGGCGGTGTTGGACAGGGATTACTGTGCATGGAATAACAGTATAGGAAGAGGCGTCAATGAACGGTTGCTATTGGTACTGGTGTCTGTCATGGTAAACTTACTTCAAAGGCGGGCGTGACTCTACCTGTTGTAATTTATGTTTGATTATTTCTAAAAAAAACTCTATTTTGTTCTCAATTATAATATATGTAAAAATATGGTTGTGAAAATTAAGTTTTTCATTTATTTCAGATTTGACAGACGTCATGTCGGCATCGAAGTCAAAGTCAAAGTCAAAGTCAAAGTATGCTGATGTGTCTCAGTACTTGTTCAAGGTATTGAGTTTCTCGAATTGGTCATCAATGGTCTCCGTTTCAGGCATGGCTATGGTGTCAGACCTATGCAACAAAGACAAAGACGAAGGATTTCGAAAGGCTGCCATTGATAATGGCGTTGTGAAGCAGTTGGTTGGTATTCTGAGCAGACGGAATGAATATTTTCATGGAAGTGTAGAGCAAATAGAATCCCTGCTTAAACCTAAGTCTCCTCAAGGTTCTTTAGATCTTTCAGAAGATTCGACCGCTGTAAGGGTGCCTCTGCAAACAACCCTTGCTTTGAAATGCATTTATGAATTTTGCTCAATTTATAGTATTCACCACTACAAGTTTCTGGATGAGAGTTTTCTGCAATGCCTGTTAGGATATTTGACTATGCATCGTGATGCTTCGATGAACAATTTCCAAAGCTTTTATCAGTTTGGACCTTCGTTCACAATGGCTTTGAAAGACATTGTCAGGTCCTATGGATTTGATATGAAGGTATCAGCCAACTGGGACAGCCCTATCAATGCACAGGGGGAACTGTTATTTTACAAACCTGCTTTCATGAAAGTGAAAGATGTTCAGTTGAAAAGCAGAAGTGTTTGGTATGTAACGATTAGAGACGGAAGTTTGAACCCTGATAGTGACCTACACAAGAGACTTATTAAAGAGAAAGTTGCTTGGGAGAAAGGGCTTGATCTTGGGGAAGTAGGAGCGCATTCAGAATGGCGGAAAAATGGGACCAAAAATGCCCCTGAATCACCCACAGCCAGTTTGGAACTCACAGCCCTGAAATGGAAGAGTTGTTGTGTGACAAGTGTTGTCAATGGAAACTTCCTGTGGGCTTTGCTTGGTGATGACACAATAAAAACAGCATCTGCTATCTCGTCGTCGCTCAAGAAAGATCTTCCTTCATTGAAGAAAGCCAAGCCACACCCTGATGATGTGGTGGTTGTGGAGGCACAGTCTCCATCGGAGCGAGACGTTTTTCGTGCTCGGGTTGTGGAGGCAGCTGGGGGTGTGGTCACGGTGTTTGGGGTGGACAGTGGAGTCATGAGAAAAGTGCCAATCCACTGCGTCTATGCTCTGCCTTCGCATCTCACTCTGGAGGAGATCCCAGCAACAGTCTCGCTCGTTCGTTTAAAAGGTGAGTAATTGTGGTCGTTTACGTTGTCTGGCTATGGTTGGATAGCCCACAGTGGTTTTTTTCCTGAATGCCCCCCTTGTGACAAAATGGCAAGAAGAGTCATGTAATCAAAGATACTGTACCCTACGGTAAGATGCTACAGCTGCACCTTTCCCTAGACTCTAAAAATATGTAACCAGCGTAAAATAGGTCACGCCCCCAGCGAGCGTGTGACTGAGCCCTGATGACTTGGCAAGGGCTTGTTGGATAGAATGAGAGCGTCCTAGTTAATCCTACTCTAGGCCCCATTCTTATCTAGATCTAAATAATTATTAGATCTATCTACTAAACTAAAGTATTGATCAACGTATTCCGATAATTTATCAAGATCTAAATTATTTTAAAAGAAAAACATTAGGTTTAAAAATAGTCTGACTTCGCTAAGGAGTGATAAGATCAGAGGATATACTGGTACCGGGTGCATAGGCTCATGATCCACTAAATGCAAATCTAGCCCTAGACAGTGACTCACGAAGTCTAGGCCTAGAATCTGTCCAATACAATGTTATTGATAGTATTGATGAGATAGTATAAGTCATTAAGTAGTGATGACAGGATCTCTGGGAGTATGTATTATAAGAATTCAAAAGATAGTGTCAATTAGTATTAGATACACCGAGGAACGCTGCAACAGAAGAAGAGAGAGAGAGAGAGAGAGAATACAACATAGAAGTATGTCTTATTAACTCGATATTACAAACTCTCTCTCTCTCTCTCTCTCTCTCTCTCTTTATATATATAACATTTACATCTAGATTCTAGATCTACACCTAATGGAATGGGCCCGTACAAAAAGTACAGAGTAAAGCATTGGTCCTAGTCACGGATGCAAATTGTAAACAAAGCTTACAGGCTGAACTCTGATAGACCCCTCTCTAGTAGTTTAACTCTAATCTAGACTCTACACTAAAAAATCAATTTCTCATTGTCTTTCCTTTCTTGGTCCTTTGGGAATCTGAAGAAAGACAGTGGTTTGGGTGTTTCCTCCGGAATTAGAACAGCCCATCGCTGAACAGAACTGGCCAGTATAGGCCGACAGGCATTGCGTTTCACTCGCCATGTTTACACACTGTCACATGCTCGCCGCTAGGTGGCGCTGGGCGTCGTTGTACCTCACAAAATTGGACAAGTGGAACATCTTAGTTTAGGGTATATAGGGAGGTTATACAGTTGTTGTAATGTAAGGTCCTTAGGGTATATTATCTCTGATGTACAGAAGAACACGGCTATTGCGGGACTGCTATGGGAATGCAAAGGGGAGATTACCGAAAATTTTCTTAAAATCCACATGATTACCTCCCTTCAATATTGATAAAATTTGCACTTTAGATTAGTCTTCCTTTTCTTGTCAACTTCGTTTATTATCTCAGCCTTTAATTCGAGTGAGAAGCGTTTCATTAAGTCTTTGTTGGAAGCCATCTTTTTCTCGATCTTGTTGCATGTGCTGTCTATCGTACCGGAAGGCCCACTGTAGAACTGGTGAAGGGGATGTGTGCGTATGCCTGAGGAATCACGCACTACACGCTCTCCTCTTCTTTTACTTTATAGCCCAGCCTAGGGCTATGGCCTATACGCTCTTATTCTGTACGGTACTGAGTGTCTAGGCTATGGCACATCACTGTATACTACATTTTGGAGTGGCTCACGTAATACGTCTCTCCGCACCGTCTCTCTCTGCCGCCTGCTCCACCTCACTCATCACTGGACTGGCCAATCACAATTCCACACCGCTAACTGCCCGTTTAGATCCCGCCCGTTTAGATCCCGCCTACAGCCCCCCACCCCCAACCTCCTTCCCCTCAGCTAGAGCTCGCTCGGTCAGTCCCGCTGTATCCAAGTTCGGGCCTTTCCTTGCCCCGTTAAACCCGAGCACAGGAATGAGTTTGCATTTTTAAAAAGGGGGGTTTCGGTGAGGGCCCGCTGCAGCGGGTGCCGCTATAGTCATGTTCTACTGTATAGATCTACATCTCCTTTGGAGTGGTCCATGTAACGCCTCTCTCCGCACTCCACACCATCTCTCTCTCTCGGCCTACTGCCTGCCCCACCTCACTCATCACTGGACTAGCCAATCACAAAGCCTCACCGCTGACTGCCTGTTTGGAGTCCGACTACAGCCCCCCCCCCCCCACCCCCACAGCTAAAGTTCGCTCGATCTCTCCTGCTCAACTGCTGTATCCGAGTTTGAGACTTTCCTTTCCTCGCTATATCCAAGCATAAGCAATTGAGTTTGCATATAGGAGAAAGAAAAGAGGATTCCGATAAGGTCCTGCGCTAGTCATGTTCTACTGTATTTTATATTGTGTTTTACCAAGATGTCTTAGCAGAAGAGATTATAATATTATAATGTCAACTGAAACAGACTAAATTAGTTTGCACTTACTTTTGAAGAAGTCAAAACTCAATTTGTCTTTTTGTTTAGGGTGGGTACAGCTACATAGGGAAATAGGTAAGGCCAACAGAATTCATTCTGTAATTATGGAAATGGACTGAGTGTGAGGCCTGGCTCGCTTTCTGGGATTGGTCCAATGAACTTCCAAGCACACTGTTTCTTGTCAGTTTGTGTGTTCCCACACTCCACCTTTCCTTTGAGGTGTGATTTTTTTTCCTGCTCCCTTAAAATGGAAGGTTCAGCACAATATGTATCATGATGTAGAGAGCACCTGAAGTGTATGACATCTTATTCAGTGACAAAGTTCTCTTGTTTTGAGAATATCGTATAAAATTTCAGTTGTCTGTGAAGTATGAATACTGACAAAATATGCTGTTTCTCTCTCCCAAGGTATTAACCCACCACCTGTGGATCCTCGTGGTGTTGAATTGGCGGCTGCCTCTCTGATGTTGGTCTCCAGGTGAGTGTTTGTGTAGTGTTTTGATGGTATAAATAAAAGCATTGTTTGATCGGGCCTTTAATTTTGGATGTCCTACTTTTTCCCAAAAAATCTTTAACAGTAATTACAATGGTGTCAGTTATCTAAATATACCTTAGAGCCCCATTTTATCTAGTAGGGATTTATTCTTTATAGCATGGAGGGCACCACTGGTAGGTTATATGATATTTTCTTTCCCTCTGTTGTTTTTCTGTATTAGTTTTTTCCAGCACTGAATGACCCTTTTATTGGCGCTCATAAATGACCTTATCACATGCATTTGCGAGCGCCGTAAAACCCTCTACTATAAAAAAAAAAAAATGACCCTTTTATGTTGATGGGTTTCTCTTTACTCAAACACCAGCTCATAGGACGACAAAGTCCTCTATCTGCGTCCCACTTTTATTTGTTCTCTAGGAACAGTATCAACACCTGCAGTCAGCTCCTGGAATTGGACCTCTTGACACAGTTTCCGGATCTGATCCACAGTCCTGACCCCCATGTAAGTTGTCAGGCACTCTCCCTGGCTGCAACACTGGTGACGGGAAAGGCAAGGAAATGTTGCAAGAAATGGCTCAAGATTCTCTTCGCTACTTTAGGTATGTGATTATTGACTGTTGTTGTTGTTGTTGTATTGCTGTTCCTGCAGCTCATGTGTTGATGTTTGCCCTTTTGGCTCTTCTGCCCTGCCAAGTATTCCAAGAAAATCTGATTTGTTTTTCTTTGTCTTTCTGAAGTCCCCAATTAGTTCTGCGAAAATACAAAACCTTTTGGATGGGGCGAAAGTTTTAACTTGTTATACCTACATTGGCTTGGTTTATGCAAATTAGTATATATTTATATTTAAAATTAGTAAGCACTGAGTGCCTAATTTAAAAAAAAAAAAGAATTTTTTAAAGTTACTGATAATTTGGATGAAAATTTCCAAGTGTTCTGATTTGTGACTAAATTGTTGCTGCTTATAATGCCTTTCCTGAGGCCTGATGGTATAAGTTGTGGTTGGTACTTCTGACAATCTGGAGTAAGGAAGCACAGTTTTAATATTAGTGTCTAATATTTGCTTATTTTGTGTTTTCCAGTTGTCTTGAATAGATGTGTGCAGCGTCAATTACAGCATGCGGAGAACCAACGCTCTGAGACTACGACTGACAAAGTGTGTCAGAAAAGCCTGCGGTTATCTGACATCAGCCCAGCGGACAATTCTGTAAATATATAATTTCACAGTTGTTAAGCAGTTCTGTTATCATTCTCCTCGGGGACTGGAATTTTCTTCTGTAAGTCCTACTTGTTTCTGGTCTGTCTGTCGTCTATATTCTGTATTTCATATTGGTTTTCTCCTGCTGTGTAGATAGTCGGTGGGTGCTCTGATATCTTCTTTTTTTCAGTTGCAATTCTAAGTCTGTATCCCGGGGAAATACAGTGGTTGTCACCCAGTCTTGTCACAGTCTGCAACTTAAAAGCCTTTTATTACTTTGCTTTGTTCTAATGTCCCTCTTTTGTGAGTTACCTCTGTATGAGAAGTCTGGCAGCTTATGGGGTCATTTGCTCTTACCCAGTGAGCATGTAAGGGGATGGGCTCTAATCTTTTAGGTTTAGCTGGATGTGTTAGTTTTAATGTGCCATGGTTAGTAGGAATAAGTTTTCTGCTTTTTTAAATCACATCCTTACTTTTCTACGAAGTTCATTCTCTGCCTAAGAAGCCGTTTTTGCAATGCAACAGAATTTTAAAAAATAATTTGCATGACTATGAACCTTTCTAAAATAGAAACCTGACGACCCATTTAGAGATGAGGCAATGAGATATTTCGTCACTGCTTCAGCATACTTTGTTTATGTTGGGGAGAAGGAAGAGAGGTTGGCATTGATGAGCAGACAACAGTGTCTACCTATCACAAGCCTGCTTACACTGAACGTATTCTTTAGTCAGGTTCATGGGCCGTGCCAAGAGGGTCAGTCTTCACATCCATTTGTACTATCAGTTGGTTCTGTCATAAAGCTAGTACTAGTAGGCTGCAGCACTGTATGTCACATGAGGAACTATTGTTTTGATTTGGAATAGACAGTCTGAGAATTATTGTGAAGTGCTGTTGTATGAAATTTCTGGTGAATGGATTACCATACTAAGAACTGTAACTTTCCTTTTACAATTCTTTGTTTCAGAACATCATTTCATCTTGCTTGCAGCTTCTTGTCAACCGTCTGTACATGTGCCGAGAAGCGAAAAACTTTTTCTACCGCGTTCAAGGTATGCCCATGGTTTCTCACTGTTCACATAAGGCAGCGGGTGGTTGGAAGGTGCCATTGGCAGGTCCTACTTCTTTATCGTTGCCGTGATTTTTGTCTATTGGCCCTGCATGGGTCTCAATATTCCGCTATTTAGCGGATTTCCGCTGCCGCCATTTCCTCCGCTAAACTCCGCTACCGCGGCAGCGGGTCAATCAGAAAGAGAGTTGCTGGGAGCAGAGTGACTGCCAGGCCTAGGGAATTACCCGGGAATTTGATGAAAAAAATCGCTGAGACACGGGAAAATACATCAAAGATCTCGAATATTATTTGAAAACCTAATCCGATAACGTCTTTAAGTTCGTTTTTGCCGGTTGCGATTGTGATATTAATTCGGCTTTTCCTGGTCTGAGAGTACGTCTCACGCGAATAGGCGGCTATGGCGGCAAGCGGAATTGTATGTGACACCGAGGCTCGACCGGAAAATCGAGATCTCAGAAATTTTTCTGTAAAACTCTGAATACGCAACTTTTGTAACCTGCAGGTTCCGCATTACAAACGTGGCGTCGCCATGAAAATAATGTTCGTCACTGTGCTGTCGCTTGTGGGGGCAAAAAAAAAAAAAGAAAAGAAAGTTATACAAGCGTCTTGTCGGGCTCGCCGTTGTGACCGGTCAATGAACCTGCGTGCGTTCTGAGCACTCTGAAGTACAGGACTCCAGAATGGGGGGAGATTATTGATTTTAAAAAAAAATACACTCGGGGATGGGGGGAAGGGCTGGACGCAACACCAGAGGACAAAAAAAGAAAAGAAATTCTACTACAGCTCTCTGCAAAGTAAAGTGCGCGTTAGTGCATGCCTTGTGTATAATCAGCATCCGTCATAACTACTTAAAATTGTAAGCGTGTTAATAAACTTAGGGCAGGGGCCCAAATGTTCGCATTTCATTTTCATTGGATGGGTGACAGTAAATTATGTCTCTTTATTTTAGCTTTTTGTTCAAGATTCGCAGATTTTCAGTGTCACTGCATCTTGCCCTCCCACAGTTCTTACACCTCTGACACTGAATAGGTTTACTTGAGCTATTCAAGTTATCACTCTACTTTGAGTTTAAGCATTATAATTTTGTCTTTCATGTCTATTATATGAATCATTACACCCAGACTGGTTCATGACAGTCGATTTTCTGGTTCTAAGCCTTTTCCCAGGCTCAAAACAAGATTCATTTAAATATAGTTTATATATGCAGGCGAATGTGATGAAGGGAAAATATAAATAAGTTGCGCAAGACCCCAGGCGCCTCCACTTTCTGTACGTAATCAAGATTGTAAATATTTGGTAAGTGACTCTTACTTGAAATTATCTTCCAAACCCTCAAACTGGTATGAAATAACCTTGCTTTGATAAATTGATGGTTTTTATTTCAACATTCTAGGGTCCAACAGTATAATAATAGTGGGTGTCTCGCGAAAATGGGCTTCTGTCGCGATCACGCAGAAAGCTCCTCCTTTTTAAAAATTCTGAGTTGAGGCCCATGCCATTCCATCTCCTTAACTCCTTATCTCCGGCAAGCAGCTCTCAACTCTCAGCTGCTTGCAGACGGAATCGCTCAGCCGGTACTCTGTTGGCAGCAGTTGGGTCACTTTCTTTTATGACGACAAAGATGTTATAGTATTTGTCAGCAATTGCCAAAAACAGGTCTCTCTCTACCTGGAGTTCTTTTATTAGATGAACTATCAAAATACAGTCAAAAAGGGGTAACTCGAATTTGTCGAAGATTGGAAACAGTGTTCAAAATTTCTGTAGTCTGACGTCGTAGTTTTCCCACGGAATTTTTTTTGTGTGCAGAATTTCGAAAAATTTTGCGGCATTATTATATTAAACTTTCAGACGTAGAATTGCGGGGGGGGGGGGGGAAATTAAACTGAAGCGAGCTGACGACATTAGAGTGATCTCCCTCTCACCGGGAGCCGGAAATTAGAGAGCTCTTCTTTTTTGGAGGGGGGAGGGGGAGAAACAAAATTGATCTAGATCTAGATTCTTGTTTGTTTTATAATGGGGTACCCACTGCGGCTGGATCGGGCCGATCGCCCTTCTCGATCGCCAGAAACTGAAAACAAACACGTTTGTTTTTTAGGTGACCGAGTCAGGTGATCAGCCCGATCGGCCGATACCACCCATAGTGGTCACCCCATATTAATAAGATTTACGGAGCTCACAACTACATATATGTACTGTAGGTCATATGAGCGCCAAGGGGTGGATGTCAACAGAGACAGGGAATCAGGTTTACTCTGCTCACCTCTCTAGCCTCATCAGTGCAAAGTCTGCTTCGACCTTCATAATCAAGGCAACCTGGAAATAGATTTAGCAGTTCACAAGAGAGTGACAAACATGCATACAAAAGAAGTAGAGGAAAAATGACGATAGTAAGGATGAGGAAAGAAAAAGCAGCAGTTCCCCCTATTCCCTATGTTATTCCGGCACAGTGTGAGCATGACATTGATAACTCTGCCCATGTGCAATTCTACGGTGCATAAAAAAAAAGTTAATATTTTGGGAATGGCCTGAATACACTGTAGTAAGTGGCACTTCCTTCTATCTAGATTCTATTGTGCTTGCGCTAGTAGCGGCTATTGTATAGGAGGAAGATACATGGATGGCTGGTGCCTCTATAAATAAATCATTGATGGTCTGGTCTGTATAGGAGGAGTACCGGCGAGACGAGATTTGTCTTTCAGCAAAAATGGATACATTTTTTGAAAGGAAAGAATGCGTTGAAAACAAATGCCGCTGAACGTCAGCTTCAGTTTACCAAAAGCACACTTGTGTTTGGCGGAAAACTGTTCTGATAGTGCGTATGTAATGTGGTACTTGACCACACCTGTAAATCGATGACGGTGGATTGGCATTTCTTTCTGTGTAAGTGTAAAGTTTATGCCTTCTTCATCCGCGGCTTTTCCTTCTGGGGTGTTTCTAATTCTAATTGCGAACTTTACCTCTGACTTTAGAATGTTGGGACCATTGTTGTTCATTGGCTGTAGTAGGGGTGGTCTTCAAATAATTCTCCTACATATTCTGCCCATCTTCCTGGGACTTTTTTCTTCTCAAACAACATGATTGTCTTTTTTGTCTTCAGAAACAACGCCTCCTAACAATCAATGACATAGCTCAAACTGCCAGCTCACCTACTTTGAAATTACCGCTATAGTGTCTCTAAACAATAATACCGATTGTATGCTGCTAATTGCTGGGTTTTAAAATTTTATTTACTGTGTCTGTAGTGTGACTTCTCTGCTTATGATTAATCAGTACTTATATATATATATATATATATTTAAAACAGTATGGGAAAAGAAGTGGTCACAATCCTTGCAGAATTTGGTTATTTTGGGGGTAAAATTCTGCATAGAATTTTGAAATTTTCCATGCAGAAACTACGTTGTCAGTGTAATTTGCCATGTCCGTGAAAACCCCAAATACAAAGAAATAGAGAAAATAAAGGGAGGTATAAAAAACATTAAAACAATTGACATGGGTAGCTCCCTTGGTGAACATGTTGACGGTGTGAAAGCAAGAAGATAAATGAAAGTGGAAAGCAGAAAATCTCACGTGTGCACAGCCGGCTTCTACGTCATTTTTTCCTCTCATCCCATTGGTTTATGGAAAGTTGTGCCTCTAGCCATCTGCACCGCAGGCATCCCACAGCGTTATTGCACGCTTGGCGAGCCAGTCGTGCGGTGCGGTCAGCATCACTCCCTAACCCCCATTCCCCGTCCCCTCTTCCTCCAGCCTCTCATGGTGAGACAAGGACCACGTTTTGGCTGTAACAATAACGAAGAAACATCTACTTGCGGCCAGAAAGGCTGTAAAGCCGGGTCTTTGGTTGAGAATGCGAAGGGGATTTGTTTGAGATTTGAGTGTTGTGTGTTTGAGAACTCAGTGAAGTCAATACAAAGAAAACATTGGGACTGAAACGGAACCGAGCATTATGTTCGAGATACCCGAAAATTTTTTATTTTCATGTTCGAGGTTTTTTACTTTACCTGTAGGTTCATTTCTTTTGATATAATGACCATTTTAGTGATGTGTAAGTCACTTTCAGGGTTTGTAACTCAAAAAAGAGTCTTCCGACATAGTGGGAAAAACTCCAGAGATAAATACCACCATTATTATGTTGATAGGCTTGTCTTATCTCTGTCAGGCTAAACTTACTTAAGTCAAAGAAGGCATTTTGCACTCAAATGCTTTCCCCCTCCTGCTTCTTGTAGGTGTATCATGTAGCTTTCAGTTTCTGCCTTAACATGAATAAGGAGACAACAGAATTATTACCGCGCACTGCAATATCTTAAAAACCTTATTGTCTTACCTAATATCAAGACCTTTGAGATCTTTAAAAGAGAATATCTCGAGAGTTCCCTCTTTGAATTCTAACAAGTTGTGTGGAAGAGCTTTTACTTCCTTTGCCTTTAAAATTTTGAATTCCCTTCCTAAAGAATTCCGTATAACATCAGATAGAGAGTAAGCCTGAAGGCAATTTGTTCAACGCTTTCCTCTGCCTTTAAATTTTGGATGTGATAATTTGTGAGTGTCTTTTTTGAGTTACGTGTGTGTATGTGTGTTGTTAGTGGTCTTATAATAATGTGCATTTTCCGTCTTTTGATTTGTCAGTTGAGTGATAATCCTGCATTGTGCAGCACTTATCGTTAACTTATTGTTATTATGATGAAACCATGAGCTTCGATTTCCCCTTGTCACCCTATGACGTGATGGTGCAAGTGTAAAGTGCAGTCTCCATCAGTGTCTTTTATGAGATCATTGAAAAAAGTACCGACTCTAAACGAAGGACAAGGGTTAAAGTTTAAACTTTTTGTGCAATGAACTAATAATATATGTCATTGTTCTTTTTTTCTGTTCCATACTTGTGCTGACTTACTGTAAATTAAAAATTAAAGACCATTCTGTGATTATACCAGAATATGTTTCGTTTTGGACTCGAAGCTTGGTGTAACGGTAAGGACGTAATGAGGTCCTTTTTCTCCAGGGCTGGATGTGGTGATGAATGCGTATGCTGTGAGTAAGAGAAACCTCAAGCTGAAGAAGTGGGCCACGCTTGTGTTTTGCAACTTTGTGCACGTCACCACGTCTCGGCGAGGGCTCCCTGATCAAGGCAGAAAGAATGGGTTAGTAATGTTTGAAGTCAACATTTGGCTTGACGTTGGCCTATTTCTAGCATGATTATGTGACTGATTAGTGGTCAGTTTTGGTAAGTTGAGCAAAATCTAATTGATTTAACTGCTGTAGAGGAAAATCTTGCTTTGGGCCACTTTCAAGGTAAATTTAAGTTTCAGGCATGTGCACCCGATTTTGCCGGAATGCCTTGATATTGATTATAGAGTGATTTAATTTGTCTTTTTTAGATTATTTTTGTTGTTGTGTGCAGAAGTCTAATACTGATACTAAGGTTACACCCACCTCCCCACTCCCTCACGCCAACACACACACACACACACACACACACACACACACACACACACA